GTATTTATAATAAATGTCATAGGTACAGATGCGGCACTAAATAAGAGCACTCTGACATAAAAGTGTCAGTGTGCTCTTATGACCAGTTAAATGTTTCAAGTGTTACAAAAGAACACAAGAAAATGCTCAACTGAATTCTTTGGTCTCTTCCAAATAAATAAGCTAGTCATTAATACAAAATCAGTTCTAAATAAAAAAGCCGTCTTCGCACTATATCCTTTATTTTGCGCAGATTCAAGCTGTCTTAATTCAAGTGGGCAGTCAGCCTCATATGGATCAGATGTGTGACTTAACCAACAAGCAGATATGGTAGTGAAGCGTGACCCAGCTGTTCAGCTGTCTCTCTCCACTCCATGTATAGCTAGGAAAGTGCCGTCTGTGGAGTTGATAATGAGGGTCAATTACTTTAATGAGCCACTTAAAGTCGACATTTTCGACTCTGCTTTACTGGCATCGTGTCTTGCCACAGTATATCCTGCCTTTGTGGAAACTTTGATGCAGTGTGGAGTGCGGGCTGCTCAGCTTCTTTGCCAGGCTTCAAACAGCCAAAATATCCCCACACTGCTGAATTCCTCTGACCCTTCTTTTCAACACCTCAACTTTTGATCCTCGGGCTGTGTGAGTCAGAGCATCGTGTTTGGTGACACTGTCACTCCAGTTTTTATTTACACTTCCTGCTGTCATTTTGTCTTTTGTGTCGTTCACACTCCTAACATGCTGGTGTCTGTGGCTGCAGCAGCTCAAATATTAGCACAGGCGCTCCTCCTACGCTGTATGTGTCGGCCTAACCCGATGTGGCTTTACCGCTATCCCAACAACATGATCGTTCTGGCACAGCACAATTCTCAATGAGTTCAGTCAACTTCATAATGACAACATTGTCTCATATATCTATAAAATTATTTTAGGTTAAATATTTAGTTAATGTGACACAATCAGACTTTGCATGTGCTGAGGAACAGTTGAGTTTTCCTAACTTGAAAAACTGGTTCCCTGCTCATTAGTTTTCTCATGGGTCGAACGCAAACAGGCGGTTGTAGCCTGTGCGGGCCTGTCCTCTTCGGTGGATGCTTGGAGGATGAAAATCATCACAGCAGACTGCATTACTCATAAAATATGTAATTGTTAATATAAATGGGAATGGTTGATGGTCCAATAACCGACGGCAAGCCCTCTGAAAGGTTTACTGCATGTGTTCTGTTGGGTTGTCGTCTTCTGTCCTGGACGTGTTTGAGCAGAGCCTGAAGATGCTGACAAACACTGTCACGCGTGCAGCGTAGAGTGCACGTGCATAACTTTGTGGGAAGTGTGCAGTCTGACACCTCAGGCCAATGAAAATGCCTGAGCAAGGTTTATCACAATTCACAATTCTGGAAAGAAAGTGTGGGTGCCTTTAGCGCTCACAGACAAGCACATGTAAACACCTCGCGTGTAGTGGACAGGGTGACAGTTTGGGAGATATTCTTACTGATATTTTCACAGGATT